TAGCCGTTAACACTGTTAAATTATATATATAAATCATCAAAAAAATGTAAATACAGTGTTCGAATAAAGGACATAATAATACATCGTGTAGCATAGCTGTCAACGAATGTAGTCCTGTAAATAAATGAATAAAGAAATTTTGTAATAAAATGCCTCTGGCGGGACTCGAACCTGCGACGTCTCGCTGGCGAGCGTCATAACCATTAGACCTCGGAGGCTCCATGTTTGAACAGCAAATACCACAAGATACACTCCATTACACAATAGGTACGGCTAGAAACAAATAGTTGCATATAATATAAATCAAGATAGTCGTTAACACTGTTAAATTATATACATATATATAAATCATCAAAGAAATGTAAATACAGTGGTCGAATAAAGGACATAATAATACATCGTGTAGCATAGCTCTCAACGAATAAATTTAAGAATCAATAATCACAAGAAATCTGTCAGGGATAAACTAAAGGGTTTTCCCGTAAGTGAACACTTTAATTCTACAGACCATTCCATCAAAGATTTAAGGTTCATTATTATAGGATCTAACTACCGTTCCCTTAAGGAGCGACGATGTACTGAATTTACGTTGGATCCTTCATCTGAAATCACACATTAATGGATTAAACAAAGACCTAGGCTTCGTTAGTGGTTACTCTTTTGTAAATAATACATCTTAATTATTCCTACAGCCCAAATAGCAAATATTTTTATATCACTCGAGACATATTACTTGTATATTATACTATTTTAATCACTATATGACCTACAATATGTATTTTTACAAAAACCCGTCACTTTCACGACACTATCATGATATTTTTATTACATAATTGTATTTTCATTACTATGTTTTAAATAATATTACCATTATATATTTTCATTAACTATTTTGTTTAAATCCAATATATCAAATGACCAATGAATTTATATTTGTTAGTAGGCAAACAATTTATATCTGCTATCTGACCACACATAAACAATTAGTTATTCAATTCATCACCTTATTTTGTCATGCTAATATTTATGCCTAATTACTTCCTTGATGTGCCAATATACTCTATGCAAAGTTTGTTGTATGTTCAGTTCACACTGAAGAAGGATGCAGGGACGACCGAAATATTTGTGTTCAAATAAATATATTAATTTGTATTATGTTCCTGAAATACGTCAACCCTTGTGCTGTTACTTGTGATCAGTCTCACTATGTATATATATACAAGAAATCTGACAGAGATAAAAGCGGTCAAATATTGAGATACTGGTGTTAAAGATTAAAATCAAAATTAAGCGTACATAGTAGAATAATATGGTGGGAAGCGGACTTAACTACATAAGTGAATAATTATGAATAATGGTATGGTGTTAATAGAGAAAGCATATCAGATGTCAATTGTGTGTGAACTGAATAGAGGTGGTTAGAATTAATTGTATGGGAAGTTGTAATCACTGAGAAAATCTACATCTTTATTGAGGCCTATGGTGTGGGTTTTGTGTTTAAGTATAAGTTTGAGTTCGGAAATGTGGCGATCGTTCAGAGATTTAAAGTTGTTTTGGCTATGAATACACATCTCAAATCATTGATGTTATTGTTAGGATAATTGAAATGTGTGGCTATTGGAAGGTTCTTATCGGTGCAGATTGATGATTTGTGATTATCAAATCTACTTCTAGAAGAAGCTCCGGTTTCACCGATGTAGGTGCCATGATCACATGCAGTACATAATAGATGTGTATAAGAGACAGAAAACAACAGTGCTCGATGCATCAGGAGCACAACACAAAATCAAAACAAGATGATGCTTGGTTACCACAACACAAAATCAAAACAAGATGATGCTTGGTTACAAATTCAACACTTTATTGCACTAGAGGCTGCTTCATGAGGTACGGTAATTCCTCGATCGTCAGGTGCTAGGCTCTGAATGAGACTGCAGAATAGCAATCATGCCGGTGGAACTGTTAATTGTTATATTGGTATGTTGGTTTACTCATTAGTATTCATAGGGGTGATTAGAAGTTTTATTGTGTCTAAGTTATATATGTGTGTTGGTACCATCTTTAAGTTTCCAAATGTATTGGCTATTGCTAAGCTAGATGATGATGTCAAAGAAGGCAATTGCTGCAACGTATAAAAATGCCTAACCAAAGGAGTTGTACATTATATCAAATAACATGTTGTTAAGTTCGATTGACACTCTGAATAGGTCTATGTGCCAAAGAGTCAATTAGTTATATCAACCTTAAATTACGAACCAACCAACACAATTCATTTCTTATTTATTTTCAGCTTTTCCTACCACAAACAGTTGAATTTATAAAATATAGCAATGTTCATAATTAAGTAAATTTACTGTAGATATTCCTTCTTGTATTTTTTTTGAACTTGTAGGCCCATATAATTACAGTATTACATCAGAAATATTATTGTCCAGAACCACATTGGATGTAAATTAAATTTGCTCTTTTGAAGATTTCCATAATACCCTGTAGTCACATTTTCTGCATTATGTATATTAACTTATTATTGTACTAAATATTATATATTTTATGTGATTGTATTTGAGTGTGACAACCAATAAATCCACACTGAAATTGAAAGGAAGGCTCTGTTAGTAGATTTTCACTGAAACACTTTAAAAAGCAGACTTTAAAACAAATTGTACGGTATTCCTAAGTTTTTATTTGCTTCTTTTATTTTCACCTTACATTAACAAAATAATAAAATAATGATAATAGTAACATTTAATAATAATAATAATAATAATAATAATAATAATAATAATAGTAATAGTAATAATAATAGTAATAATAATAATAAAAACCCATATTAATTATTTGTAGGCTACTAAAATTGCGGTTGCAAAAACATTCATTACATCAACACATGAAAGCACCGTCTACAGGTTAAAATTGTTGCAGTGATCTTGGATGAAGCATACCTCAACAGAGCCATTCATTCGGAAGTAAAATTACAAAGCCATGGCATCTCAAGCTGGGTATATACTTCATTGCTAACTTAATTCCATCAAGACCACAGTGCAATGAGGCACGAGTGACTGGTCATTTTTTAACGATGATCAACTCTGACTGCCAAAGACAATCAGGAGCTGGTGTTACTTCGTCAAGCACTCAGAGCAGATTCATGATGGCCGCAGTATGCACCCGGCTTAAGATGTTGTTGGCCTGCTACAGAATAAGTTACAACAAAGTTTACAAAAGAAAGGTTATATATTACTCAACAGAAGCCAACTTAGTCAACAAGTCAAACATTTAGTAAACTGACAAATTATGTGAACTATTATCAAGCTAATTGTAACAATTTAAATATTATATCAAATAATTATTATTAATTAATTACATAGTTTATGAAAAGTGATGTCTACCTACATCTAAATTAGCTTAAGAAACATTAATGATTGTTGTAAAATATGCGACAGTTTCATTAAATATAAATGTGTACCACACATTGTTGATTCTGAAGCTCTGTCCTTGCTATCAATTTTAAAGTGACAAATTTGTGTGATGTGCCCATATTTGGACATGTCATATACCCATATATGGGCAAGAATATTACTCATATATGGGCATTATATCATATATATATATACGGGCATGATATTACCCATACAGTATATGGGCATTATATCATATACAGGCTGATATTACCCATATATGAGCAATATTACTCGTATATGGGCATTATATCATATACCCACATGTGGGCATGATATCATGTCACACCTGAATATGGGCAAATCACACACATAAAACCCGATACTTTAGACTAAGCTTAATTAAAGCATATAAAAAAAACAAAAAAACAGAACATGGTGTCTTGTCACGTGTTTGTCCCCATTTTCAAACATGTAGGAACATAAACACCTTCATGTGTTGCTAGACCTGGCCAAGGTCTACATTATACAAATGCCTGTGCAGAGTGACTGTAAAAACAGTAAATGAAAAAAGGCCTTGCCATTTTTTTTATACCTAAAAATTGCGGAATGAAAAACATTATTTTTGTTATCTTTGGCCTTTCATTTCTGACAATCATAAATATTTTCCTAAATGTGGCATTAACACCAAACCCCAGTCCCCCAAAAAATCTGAATCTGTTATATAATTTTTTCTTATTGGAAGCTCAAATATTTTGAGTAGAAACAGTTTATATTTTAAAATTTTTGCACAGCTGGCCAAGACTTTATTGTGGTGCAGGTGGTAACCTCTCTTTTCCACCATTGCTTGCATAAATTAGATTTTCATGTATTTATATTTCGGAGGATGGAGAAAATTGTATCATGCACATTAAAAATGGTATGACTGAATCCATCCAAATGTACAATCAGATTACATAAAAAAGTTTAAGAAAGTGGTAACCCCTTCCTTTTCCTATTTGATTGTATAAATTTGCATGTAATATTATATGTATTCGGTGGATAAAGACAATTATAAACTGTTCGATTGAAAGAAATCAATCTATCGAAAAGTTATATCAGATTACATAAAAACGTTTCAATTGTGGTTTTGCGTAATCTGAATACAGCATTGAGGCATAGCGTTTGCATCCTTAAATTTTTTGCCAGTAAAGTGTAAAGATTTCTCAAATTTATCATTCTAAAACATTAAACATGAAATTAATGGAACGTAGCTCATACATATTCATGTGGGCTTACTCGATTGGACGTTCAATTTGTTGTCCCCAACAGAGTTCATATTTTTGGAATCTGTTGAATGATAATGATATGTACCGAAAACAACTGCTTAATGAAAATACGCCAGTTGATTAAGCCCAATGTGTTAACTTATTTATGTATAAGGAAGTTCATTTTACATTGTCCATTTATCCATCATTCGCTAATCAACAATGTTATAACAATATTGGCCACTGTATTAATAAGGCCAAATTGCAAAGATATGGGTTCTCCATAATAAATATCAACAAATATAATATATAAAACTTGTGTTTTTCCCCTGTTCTAAATGAAACACTGAATTTACTTTAGGTACATACAAAAACATAGTCTAGAGTAGCAGTCTAAAAAATCTGTAAAAACACATTTAAACCTAAATTACTAGAGGCTTTACAGAATCACATATAGTTATAACATTGATCATTAAGGAAGCAATTCAATCACTGATTTTGTGTTCAGTATACTAGAAATATTGATTTAACAATTAAAATTAATTTCAGATTTTTGCACATCTTGACCTCAAACTATATCCTATAAAGTATAATTTCTTACCGGGGAAAAATAATAACAATATTTAAATACAATCAATCAAACATGACTAAAAACCATGTATTATATCATATTTTTTTTATGGATGTATCTGAACAGTTTTCATGACCAAATAATTGGCTTAAGCATATGTTTGTATTGGATTAATTTTGCTTCAACTAATTGTGTTAAATCCCTTGACCAACAAAAATCCAGTGTGAAAAATATGTGTAACATTCTCCTTTGGTTAAATTAGTTTAACCGTGTGAACTTTTCCCAGAGTGAAAACCAAGCTATTTTTGCTAAGCAGAAAAGCCCAATGTGTACAGCACGACTCGGTTAAATATTCCAGACTGCATGCTGATATCGCATGCTTTGGTGTACGAACAGCAGTACGATTTGACCATTCGTCTTGGTCAAAATTAATACAATGTAAACACAGCTTTAAGCAACACTAATGGTTAAGCTCTGTCAAGTGGAAATGTGTGTGATTTGCCTATATATGGGCATGATGATGTCATAACACACACTTATACAGCCATGATGTCATACCATGCACTTATACAGCCATGATGTCATACCATGCACTTATAAAGGCATGATGATGTCATACCACACACGCATGAAGATGTCATACCACACACTTATGCAGGCATGATGATGTCATATCATGCACTTATATATGCATCATGATGTCATACCACACACTTTTACATGTAAGATGATGTCATAGCACATACTTATACAGGCATTATGATAGTATCTGAGCTGAGTTTAAGTTGAAGAACCAGTCTTAACCAATTAATTCTGACCACAATAAAGATATACAGTCTGTGTTAAAATCTGCAAAAACATTAAAAATTGTAATTAAAACATTGAATAAACTGCTCATATAAAATAATTTATTAGGCTATCAACTTTCAATGAGGGCCTATTTGAAAAAAAAAAGTTTCCGTTTACAGATATTTTGCTTCAAAAATTCTTAAACTGACTGCCATCAAATTTAAGGGCCTATGTAAACCACAAAGGAATTGAGTATATTTTACAGATCTGTTAATATGCAAGGAATATAGTTTTTTTATCACTACATTTTAACAGAGAGCTAATAATTTCATCATTTAACTATTATTGTTCAATTTTGTTAGTTCAACAGAGTACTATGTTGCAAGGTTACCATACCATGTGACCATGTTATGGTACGATGTAGTAGCTGTTTATTACTGATCAACTATCTACCAAATTGTCGTTATAGCCCAGTGCTTCCTCAGCTACAAGCCACAGTTTATCAGTGTTTTCAAAACAAACAAAAACTTTGCATATATTAGTTATGTATATTTCATTGTCCATGCCAAAATAAACATACATTGTTTGAAAGTTACATCAGTTGAAAATGCTACATGAACTGTAGCCCATCTAAGAAGGCACTCAACCATACTGATTGTTTGGGTAGCGCTGGCTTAGTAGTGATTTTTTTTTTGACGTCAGAAACGTAATTCTCTATAGACAGTATATCTTTACGATGAACTAATTTCCATTGCCCTTTTTAAAACCAGGTTGTGGAGATTAACATCTCAGAGCTTTACTTGATAACTGGATAAAAAAAATAATACTGTAATCCAGATCAGAGGAAGATTTTGTATTTAAAAAATCTCTATCTCTACATACTTTACAGTTCGTGCATATCTAAAGATTATTTATTGATTCGTATCTTATTTGTACAATATAAGCTCTATTGAATAACACGTCTCTAACTATCGGCACCCTAAGGAATCACGTCATAGCGTTGAATCACTAGAGTGACGATCTACACTACGAAAAGATTTCCTTATCGTAATTTCCAGTTTGCGTCGAGCCTTGCGTTCTTCGTCTAAGTCTCTCTTCAGACGTTTTGTCTCATCGACTAGGTCCTTCACTTGGTCACGCAGTGCATAGACAGTATCAACTAGACTCCTGAAAATATACATATAGGAAAGGGTGTTATGAACTTGCATGTTTCTTTAGTATACTTATAATGTAACAGCTACATAATGGTTAAACAAACCTATGACATAACAGTTGCCATAGTGATATCAAATTAAAGATATATAGTCTGCGGTAAATACTGAAAAGAATCCACTAATATCCAATTAAAACTACCAATTCAATTCTTGCTAAATATTGGATTTTTCTCTAAAATCGTTAAACTAATTGTAATTGCTGAAAAAATATTAAAACAATTTCTGGTTTTAATTTCAATTGATAAGTAAGCTATTTTTATTTTTAATTTAAGCTTGTTTTTGTAATATTGATTTATTTGAACAAATGAGTTATAACAGAGTTATAAAAAAAAAAACAGACATTTAGTACAAGCAGTTTAACAACTTAATTCTCACCACAGACTGTGTATCTTTCAACATTCAAAAAAAAAAAAATCATTGACGAATGAATTAACATGAACACATAATCAGGCAAATACTGGTGCAAAATAAAATAATATTACATGGAAGAAAAACATTAGAATATAATAACAAATCTGAAAGATCTCAACATTCTATCAATTATACCAAACTCACATATTTGGTAACAGTTTCAATGCCATTTTGATCTTTTTGGTTGTATTTAAATTACACAGTTGGTATAATTGACTAACCTTTTCTTGGTGTTTGGAAATTTTAAAATACTTCAAAGATATTTTAGCATTCGCATTTATACCAAACCTACTTACTAGGTAATACAGTACTAACAAATTTAAAAGATTTGGTAAAATTGAGAACACTTTGGTGTTCTTGGTTGACCAAACTTATACATTTGGAATAACTGAGAACTTAATTGTCACCTTGGAGTTCTAATTTTACAAAGCACAGATATATGGAAAGACTGAGAACTTCAATGGCATGTTGGTGGTGTTTTAGTAACTGAATATTGTTGGTGTACTGTCTGAGAATGTCAATGTCACTTTGGAGTTCTTATTTATACCACAAAATATACATATTTTGTAAAACTAAGAACTTCAATGACATTTTGGTAGTGTTTTGGTACCCTACAACTATTGGCATTGTCTGTGAAGTTTAATGATATTTTTAAAGTTCTTTGTAATACCAAATATACAAATTTGGTTAAACTGTTAATTTAGTTTGCTTGATTATACCACACATTTAGATTTGGTAATACTAAGAAATTCAATAAAATTTTGGTGTGCTCAGTTTTTCCAAAATACCACATTTTGTATATTACTGATAATTTCAAAGACATTTGGAGTCCTTACATCAAACTGATGGATTTTGTAAAACTGGGCACTACTGTTAAATTTTGTTGGATATACCCAATTATATTTGGTGAAAATCTAGGCTTCAACTTTATAATACACATGTGGTAAAGTAAGAACAATAAGGTTATTAATCGCCAACTGTGACATCCAAAATGATTTTGCAAATAATGTTAAATAGTGATTAAATCAGAAATTGGAACTTCTACATTGAGTGGCAATCCAATGGGTCAGTGATCTGAAAAAGTTCAGATGCTGGACGAAACATCACTCAACGTTAATAGTAAGTTCCAGTTTCTGATTAGTTTTTACTATCTGTCATTATTAAATATCTACTAGATGACTGATAACATTCACAAATCAATTTTGCAAATATATATAATGAATACGACAATTTTCTGCAATTAGTTTTCAACACACCGGTGAAAGTATATTAAAGTGAATAGTTAGTCAATCCTGTGTGCATAACCTTGACTGGATAAAAACTAAATAACCGAAGAACCGTTGTAACAAAAAATACCAAATTATCAAAAAATCAAAGTGCGATAACAATTACATAAAACATCTTAGGAAAAAAATTTAAAAATATTGAGATAAGACATTTTTTTATAACAAAAATGTACATTCATATACCTAGATACACATAGAAAAATTGTACTGCTTCAAAAAGACAATTTTTTTTACACAAAAGTATATATTTTATGCAAATTTACTTGCAAATGGTTATGATAAAAGCATGATGAAAAATTAAACAGATAAAAAAAATCAAAGGTAAGATAGATAGTGAAATATCTACAAGGAATGGAGTGAAATACAAAAGTCACTATAAGAAAGACAATGAAGTGAATATAAGACGCTAACTGAAAAACAAGAATACACCAACAGAAATTTACAAAACTGAATAAAAAAATAACCATATAT